AATATTATTCACCCATAAAAAGGAAGTTCTGATACATGATATAACATGTAATTGAAATAAACCAGATAAAAAGGGTCACATACTGTCTGATTCTGCTTATATGAGGTACTTTGAACAGTCACATCTTAGAGACTACCAGGGGCAGGAAGATGGAGAAAATGAGGTGTTACTATTTAATAGTTAAAGAGTTTCTATTTGAGATGATGAAAAACTTTTTAGAAATGATTGTACAACGTCAATGTAATTAACACCAGTGAATTTTAATCTTAAAATGGATTTAAATGTTTTTAAAAGAGGAATAGGACATTCTCAATATGCTCAAAGAGCTTATTAACTAGTTGAAAAGGGTAAGGGAGTGAAGGGAGATATTGACATTGATAGCTAAGAGTATTAAAATGCAAAATGTGGCAAATAGCCACTCAACTAGCATCCAGCTCAGGGGTCACATAGAGTGGGTATTTACTGAGTGATGTTCAACTGGACAGTGTAGAGCAGGTGGCCAACATCTAGGACTATGGAATAAAGCAAGGCTTGGTTTCAAGTTCTAGCTATGGAATGTACCAGTTGCATAACATTGTGCAATTTATTTAATATCCTAATAGCTCACATTCCTCACTGAAAAAAAGTACCTATTTCATGGGAACCTTACCAGAGATGATACAGGTAAGATGTTTAGTCCAGGGTCTGGTTTAGCCATTATTATTATTGATCTAGTGGTGGTTTGGGGGTTTTTTGTTGTTGTTAATGATGAATCAGAGTAAATTTGTATAGAAATCAAGTTTGAAAAAAAACAAGAAATAAACAAGGGCTTGAAATAAAACTCATACTTCTGAGTCTGGAAGACAAAGGAACACAGGATGGAAAGGTGGGTGAAGAGTTGGAGGATAAATCCAAGGAAAGGGGAGGACAGCAGGGGACAGACCAAGTCAGTGACCAGAGAGCATGGGAGGAGAATCAGAGGAAGCCTGGCCCAAGCAGAACGGCAAGTGGGAAGGTGGAGCTGGCTGACAGGAAGCCCAGCGGGACCAGTGATTCTGACATCTGTTGGTAGCCGTTTTTATTCAAGTTCCCACTTGTTCTGGGAAAGGGAGTAATGGGGATGGGGAAAAGGAAGCAAATGCCCAAATTGTTCCATGTGACCTTTCCTCCCACCACCTTCTTTTCAGAATTCTGCATCCCAAGTGTTCTGATGCCAATCAGTGGTCTGAGATCTGAGCACAGTGACACCCTCCTCTGCTCAGACAGCATGGCAAAGGACATTCCTCCTATGTATTAATGGGGTCATCTCCCCTTCTAAGGAACAGCCAGCATGTGCAGTGAGTGATTAGGAGAAAGTTACAAGTGGCAGAATAGAGCGGTCAGTTCACATATAACACTATCTTTATTAACTGGGGATTGAACCCAGGGGCATGTCCAGCATCCCCCCTGCCACCCTTTTTGAGTCAGGGTTCCACCAGGCTGGACTGTTGCTTGGGATCATCCTGTATCAACCTTCTAAACCACTGAGATTATAGGCATGCACCACCATACACAGCTACACACATCACTTTTTTAAAACTCATCATTGTCATTGGTAAAAAGCTTTGTCTGATGGTTAGTCAGTAGACATTCTTCAGGTTTGGAAATGGAAAGAAGAGGAGTGCTGTTTAAAGAATACTTGATATCAGGATTCAGTGTCTTCAGAAAAAGGTGGAGGTAGAACAAAAACAAAGGTCAGGCAAAAGTCAATAGATAATGGCTAGATCTTTGGTGGGAGAGAGTGTGTGAAGTTATTGTAGGAAATTCTTGAAATCACAAGTGCACCTAAAATAGTCTATGTTTCACACATAGATACTGTTTTCCAAATTAATGAGAATTTACTTAAAATTAGTAAAGGGAAATTAATTTTTAAAAATTAACTTGGGAATTAAGGATTCACCTATATTAAAGCAAAATCTTTAAGAAAGCAGAACTCTGGAACCAAGCTTTCATGGGTAAATGACTGGTTCAGTTACACAGGATCCTGGGTTCAAGAGGGACCCTACCCTTGGGGCTTAATGAAACTTTATCTTTGAATCTGTGATTTGTGAGTAACATCTGATGGTACAATGGAACATATGCCAGGGTCTTAAAGCCTTACTGATGTGCTGTCTCTTTTTTAGCCTCCTCCCTGGGAAGGGTCCTCCACCACCCTCTCCCTAAACCCAGCCCTGTGACCACTGCCATCTCTATCTTCAGAGGGGTCTTGGGCACAGGTAGAGAAGAATCAAGGTGCTGCAAATGTCTGCATTCGTAGTTCCTGAGGGAGAGGGACATTAAATACTCAACAAACAAACAAAACACCATGAGAGGTTTATAAACAGATGCAGAAGAAAGAAAACAGCTTTCTCTTGCTTTCTGAACAAGGAGCTCTGTAAGACCACTTCGCACTGGATCCCACAAGTTTTGTAGCTGGCCTAAGAGATTTGCTACTCAGTGTGGTCTCAGGACGAATATCACTGGTATTACCTGTAGATTTATTAGATACAGAGAATCCCCAGCTCTATCCAGAGCTAAATCAGAATTTGCTTTTTATCAAGATCCCTGGGTGATTCACATTGAAGTTTGAGAAGCAATGGTATAGATCACATTTTGTGSTTTAGTGACCAATCCAGATGATAGCTTCCATCCTAGCCCTAAAATGTTATTTTATCATTGTTAAAGGTGTTGTCCTTTTCTCTGACATAAAACAATCACTATTCATATTAGGTGAGATGGAGAGGTCAAAAAGCTAGCCAGGAAGGAACACTGAAAAAGGAGATGCTCTGAGCACCAAGCTTTGCCAACTCTGTTGCTTGAAATTATATTTCCCCTGTTCTATACCCTTGGGTTAAATGCTTAGCATCTTTCCTAGCAATGCTGAGAGCCTTATGATGGTAACAGCGGCCAGCTTAAAATAACCTGCAGCTCTCCTAGAAATTGTTTTGACCTTTATTTGCATAAGCGTTCAGAATGTGCCAGCTTTCTCTGGGAGAGTGGAGAGCAGTGCTTACCTTTCCTTCTTGTCATTGCTGATTTCTGAGTATACATGGGGGTTACTTGACATGGTACGTCCCAGGCAAAATGTTTATAGGAAGCAACCTACATGAATACAAAATGAACCCCTAAGCCTTCCTCCCACCCCATGGGTCTTCCCTGGGGATAAGTTGCTGTTCTGGACAGAACTAGTGGGAAGTTGAGAGCTGAAATGATGCTTCTGTTCAATGGCAGTGAGTGCTGAGGCAGGGTTTCCCTCCAGGTGTGGAGAAAGATGGTCAATCTGTCTTTGGACTTGGGTCTTCAAAGTGGAAGCCTAATTTGTCATGTACTAAGAAGAATGGGTTGTTTAGTTAACTAATTGTAACATGCCAATTCAAAGTCATACTTGTTGCTCTAGCCTAGGGATTTAGCCTGAGGAGATTCAAGGATTTTTACAAAGTTTAAGCAGCATAATAGTCACCTAAATGGTATCTGTAAAAGCACGAAATTCAAAGTGGAATGCATCCCTTCAGGGGATATGCAAAAGGAAGAGGTATTAGAAATTAGCATTTGATTTTTCACATTTAAAAATGTGAGAGAATAAAATCCTTTACTAATACGTAAAATGGGGACTGACTCTAGCTTCCGTGGTTGGTCTCTAAGTCAGACAGTGTTGTATGAGATCCATTGAATAAAGAGCAGGAATTTCACAGTATGGGTCTCTTCTCTGATGTAGCACTGCATGGATATAATTTATAAATTTATATAATTTAGAGAGAAAGAGAAAGAAAGAAATTAAACCTGGTGTGTGAGTGAGAGCCCTGTGCCCCAAGACTTCTGCTGATGAGGTCTGAGGCCCCTTGTAGGAGATCTAAGGAAAGGAATGCCCAGGAAGGGCTCTGCCCCCAGCTTCAGGAGCACAAGGACTGGATTTTAGGCTGAGCTCTTTGGATTACACCAAGCCTCATTCACAGGCCAGGTTTAGTTTCTTTCTCTCTTTCTTTCTCTTTTTTCTTTTTTCTCTCTTTCCCCCTTTCCTTCCTTCTTTCCTTTTCCAGTACTGGAGACAATCTAGAGTATTACACCCTGGCGCATCTACCACTGAGCCAGGGTCTCACTGGTTTCCAAGGCTGACCTTCAACTTGCAATCCTTCTACCTCAGCCGCTGAGTAGCTGGGACTCCAGTTCAGGTTCCATTCTTAATGGAAAGCAGTGCTGCTTCAGTTAGTGGTCTGTTTCTTTCCCTGGAATCCCAACGTGTTTTCTGAGGGCCTCTAGGATGTCTCAGGAAAACTTGTATCTCTCAGCAGATTTCATAACACCTCACCTTTCATTAACAAACAACTCCTTATCTTCTCAACCTAACTTTAGCCTTTGACTCCATTCTGCTAGATTTCAAGGCTTCAGATGACTTTGCTGGTCAGCATTCTGCTTTCCATTGTAAAAAAAACTAATAGTCTGGGTTGGGATTGTAGCTCAGTAGTAGAGCAACTTGCCTAGCACATGTGAGGCACTGGGTTTGATCATCAGCATCACATAAAAAAAATAATGTCCATCTATAACTAAAAATATTTTTAAAAACTAATGGTCAAGTATATGGTTATCATAAACAAAAACTAAGTTTATTAGAAAAGTTCCTAGTTATTTAAATGAATATCTATACCTGCTAAAAGAGAATGGCTGAAGGCTCCCCAAGAATGTTTGCTTATCTGTAAATACATTTCCCTCTGAGGTTTCTAGTATAAAAAGTTCATCTCTTAAGTAATGATTTTCTGTTTAATTTTAGCAACCCTTTTTGAGAGAGGCTTGGTCCTGCAATTCCTTGTGCATATTGAAACTGTAAATAATCTTATCATTTGGAATAAATCTCCTTAATGTGCATGTTATAATTGAATTCATTTCTAATTAATGTAGCATTACCTGTGGCAAAGGTGTATTAGCTTCTGTTTTCTGATTGCCCTTGAACATTGCCTTGAGGTTGCAGGAGTGCTGATGAAGTAATAAGGGCTGTGATTGATTTTCAGACACAAGGACCATTACCAGCATGGCTGCAGACATGTCTCCAGGACCAGCTATCTTCAACAGCGCGATGGCCAGGACCAAGATGCAGCACATGAGGGAGTGAGTGGCATGTTGCCTGACCCCTGTCACAGTGCAGCATTACAACAAATTTACTAAGCGTGTGAGATTGAGTCATGCAGTGCTGTCTTAGTCCCTTTTGGCTGTTAGGACTAAATGCTTGATACTGGACAATGAACAACAACAACAACAAAAAAAAACCCACAAATTTACTTCTCACAGTTTTGGAGGCAGGAAAGTTCGAGATCAAGGTGCCAGAGGTTTCCATGTTTGGTGATGCCTTGCTCTCTCTGCTTCCACAATGGTGCCTTGTTGCTGCTCCTCACAAGGATAGAAGGGCAAAAGGGAACTGTGTCCAAACACATGGAGCAGAAACTTGAGGCAGTGCTGGGCAGTAAGACCCAAGATCCCATGCATGCTCTCGGCCCCTCCTTTGACACCATTCCATCTTCAAGGCCTGGCACTTAGGGCCTGTGATGGGATAGCAGCCTTGGGATCACCCTTACATTGTCTCGAAGAATAGCACCTGGCTTCCTTGTCCCCACACAGATCTCCTTACCAAATATCAGCTTGACCGCACCTTTGGTATTCTCTCATAATTAACTGTTAGCAATCAAGAGAAACCATGCAAAACTTTCAACACTTTGCTTAGAGATTTCTTCTGCTAAATACCCTACTTCATCACTGGCAAGTTCTGCCTTCCAAAATGCTATAGAACATGGGCACAATTCAGCTGGATTCTTTGTTACTTTATTTATTTTTTTTAAATTTTTTTTATTGGTCGTTCAAAACATTACATAGTTCTTAATACATCATATTACATGGTTTGATTCAAGTGGGTTATGAACTCCCACTTTTACCCCGTATACAGATTGCTGTATCACATCAGTTACCCTTCCATTGATTGACATATTGCCTTTCTAGTGTCTGATGTATTCTGCTGTCTGTCCTATTCTTAATAGGATAGCCTTTCCTCCAGTTTCCAATAACAACATCTTTACTTTCCCCGTAGACTGTTATCAAAATAGTCCCTACTGTCTATATTTCTACCCAGTGTTCTGTTCACAACCACTTAGATTATCTCTAAGACCAAAGTTCTTTCTATAGCTTTCCTCTTCCTCCAAGCCTTTGCTAGAATGACACTTTGTAGTTCAACCTATACTTGCCACCCAGTTTCAAAGCTATGTTCATATTTTCAGGTATTTGTTATAGCAATACCCCAGTTCCTCATATCAAATTCTCTTAGTCCTTTTGTGCTGCTGTAACAAAACCCCTAAGACTGGGTAATTTGCAAACAGAGTATAAATTTGTTGTTCACTGTTACGGAGGCTGGGAAGTCCAAGATCAAGGCTTGATCAGGTTTGCTGTCTAGTGGGGGATCAGTTTCTGCTTTCAAGATGATACTTTGGACATAAGGGCAAAGGGGACTAGCTAGTTCCCCCGGGACCTTTTATAAAGTCTCTAAACCCATTCTTGAGAGTGGAATCCCCATGGCCTAATATGTTCCTAAAAGGCCTCACCTCTTAATACTCTTGCATTGGGGATTAAGTTTTAACATGAACTTTGGAGGGGACATGAACAATTTAAACCATTACAGGTAATATTCTCCTTGCTCTCCTACATGCAGCAGTGGAWGGAACAAGCAAAAGATCTTGGGAAAAGCCTGAGTTCCCAACAAAAGCACTCCTGCAAGTGCTTCTTGACAAGGAAGAGACACTTGGCCTCCTAATATAACTTCTCTCATACAACCTGTGTCTCTAGATCAGAGGTTGGCAAACTTTCCCTGTAAAGGAATAAACTGAAAATATTTAACGCTTTGCAGGCCAATGATTTGTCACAATTATTCAAGTCTGCTGTTGTAACACAAAAGCAGGCAATATGTAAATAAATGTACATGACTGTACTTCAAAAAATCATTATTTTGAGGCTGAAATGTGAATTTCATATAATTTTCAGGCATCACAAAATATTACTATTTAATTTTTTTCTTTGTATGGTACTGGTAATTGAACCCAGAGCCTTGTACTTAATTGTCAAGAGCTCTGCCACTGAGTTACTCCTCCAGCCTCACCCCTTTTTTTTCAACCATTTGAAAATGTAAAAATAATTCTTAGCTCGTAGGAGGTACAGAAGCAGATGGTGGGCCAGATTTGGCCTGGAGGCTGTATACTTTGCCAGCCCCTACTCTAGATGTTCCCACTCAGGAATTTCTCTCTGAAATCTAGTACCTATATTGATTCTGACTGAATAAGTAGGAAAGTTTGGCAAGAATTATTTTAGTTGATTTGCATTTACATTGTCCTTTCAATATAACTTGTTATCATCCAGGCTATTGTTTGAAAGCAAAGGAGAAAAAAAAAGAATGCTAAGAATTATTTCCAAACCTAAAGCTATTAATAGGTTTTGATGCTTATTGTCCTGCTTATATCATAATGGTCTTACAGTAACATGGTTACCATGGCAACAAGTGATTCCCAGTAGTTGGAAGTGAGGGATTTGGGAATAATCATTCCCATCTCTACTTACCTCCACCACTCCTTGCTAGGAGGAGATAATGTAGAAGGATTTACTAATCTCCCAGTTGATACTCTTTAAAGAGAACAGAGCAGGTCACTTATTTCACCCTTCAAAAGTTAATAATATGGTGTCATATTTTTGATCTAAGACTTCATTACTTTTACAAAGTACACAATGTCTCATTTGCGAGCATTTTATAACATGCTCTAAGTCATTAAAATGAAAGTAGCTTTGCCAAAATAATTGACCAAGATGCATTCTAGTGGTTTTATTACTGGTATATTTTCTTCCTTATTGCTTGACTGAATCTGACCAAGTATTTTCTGTCTCATTTTTTAATGTAGACCAATATACTCTGGGTTTCTTCCATGTCAATGGGCTTACTTCTTTGGAAGAATAACCTACTGTCCCCTTATAATCCATGTCATGAAGCCCTATACAATCCCAGAAAAGACAAAAAAGGGAATCGAGGCTGCACAGCTGTGTATCTTTTGTGCGTGTTGTATCTCAGTATCTAAGACTTAGTACACAGCCAGACTTTGCTGTTCTTTCACTGCACAATGATATACTACATGCTCAGTGTGTTAGTTATCTTTCAGTCACTGTGACAAAGTCCCTGAAAAAAGTCAGCTTTAGGGAGGAGAGATTCATCCTTGGCTCAGTTTCAGAGTGTTTGTCAATGGTTGGCTGGCTCCATTGCTTTTAAACCTGTGGTGAGGCAGAACATCGTGGTGGGGAGCACATGATGGAGCAAAGCTGCTCAGCTCATGGTGGCTAGGAAGAGGAGAGAGAGGGAGAGAGGGAGAGAGGGAGGGAGGGAGAGAAATAGGGAGGGGAAGGGATTGGGGACAGGATATATACAAAGACAAGGACACGCCCTCAGTATCCTACTTCCTTCAAGTAGAACTCACCTCCTAAGGTTTCCACYACCTCTCTCAATAGCACCACCAATTGGAAACCAAGCCTTGAATTCATGACCTATTGGAGGACAACCCAGATCAAAACTATATGTTCACACTGTGGACAGAAAATACAGGGATACAAAGAAGAGCGATGACTGATACTTGTCCCTAGAGAGATCATAATGTTAAAAAAAAGTACAAAATTTAAGTGTAAATTAAATTTACACTTGTAATATGAAATGATGGTTAACAGAAGTTCCCACATGGAACCATGATCATATACCAAACAGAACAGATGGTGAGAGCTCTAAGGTCAGAAAGGGAAGTCAGGAGCCTTCTGGGAGTGTGGAAACTTGGCATTGATCTTCACAGAGGAATATGATTTGGAGAGGTAAAGAGAATGGAGAAGAAGCTGGAGGTCAGCAGATTTGTAATCAATGACTTGGCTTCACTAATAAATGGCTTTCTGACCTTTGGCAAGTGATTTTTCCAAAATTCAGTTTCCTCCTCTGCAAAATAGAAATATTATTGTTGCAGCAGAATCTTTGGGAAGCAGATGCAGAGATGAAGGTTAATGTAGGAGGAGGGTTGTTGAGAGAGGGCTTGAGAGGCTGATACCTATAAAAAGGAGAGGGAAGGAAGAAGACTGACCATGGGGGATTCAAGCTGTGATATGGATTCAGTGGGAGTTTCTATTGATCCTATAGGGAGCTCTGAAGCTGAGTGGCCCTGCAGAACTGTCCTGCGTTGGGGTGAGAGAGTAAAAACCCAAGTCACTCAGACACTGGATGCAGGCCACCTCAGAAAAGGGGCTGTGACTGAACAAGACTTTTACTTTAGCCACAGCTGAAATACCCAAAGGACTTATACAGTCCACCAATGGTACCCGCAGCATCTGGGGACTAACTGCAGGGTCTTCAGGGTCTGCTTGTGATGAGTAAATGATGTAATGCATGTAAGTGATGCATATAGGAGGCAATTTAAAAGAAGACTCAAATAGACTTGGCACTCATTGCTAAGGAGTTAAGATAACTTTTTTTCCTCGCCAAAGGGAAGAGAAGGCAAGGAATGTATTTAGGGGATACTGATTAGATCAGATTGTGTTAACTTTTTTAAAATTTATGAAAAATGTCAAGCCTATAGAAAAGTTACAAGAATAGCATGATGAACAGTTATATATCTTTTACCTAGTTTACCAATTTATAACATTTTGCCATGTTTGTGTTGTTGTTGTTGTTGTTATTAATGAGTCATTTGAGAACAGACTTTGTGCAACATGTTTTTTCATCCTAAATATTTAAATGTGTGATTCTTAAGAACCAGGTCTTCTCTTATTTAACCACAGTACCATGATTAAATTTGGTAAATTTCACATAGGTATGCACTGTTGTGAGATGCTCCAACCCATATTCAAATTTCTTTCATTATCTCCATAACACCCATAATAGCAGTTGTTTTTATGATCTGCGACACAAGCCAGGAATATATGTGGCACACACTGGTGGTATTCCTTTGTTCATTTATTCTGGAATAGTTCTTCAGTCATTCTTTGTCTTTCATGAAGTTGATATTTTGAAGACTGTAGGCAGCTATTTTCTAAGATTCCCCTCATTTGGGTTTTGT